AACAACAGCAGCAACAACTGCAAGCACACCAGCAGCAACAACCGCAAGCATACCAGCAGTAACAACCACAAGCATACCAGCAGTAACAACCGCAAGTATACCAGCAGCAACAACTACAAGCATACTAGCAGTAACAATTACAAGCATACTACAGTCATGGCATTTACCAAAAATATATATTGAAGATCACACCTTTTATGATATAAGGATATCGATCAGAAGGTTCTAGATTTCATAGCATATGAATATTAATCAATCGAATCTAATTAAAAACTCATATGAATGAATATATCTTATTATCTTAGCGAAGCTATTAACGAAGCTTTATCTCTTATTAAATATTTAAATAAAATTTTATTCTACTTAATTAGCATTGCCTTTACTAATTATATATTATAATATTTAATTTGTACTATTAAACAATACCACCCTTATATGCAGTATTGTTCAAAAACACAACCTATATATTGATTTGTGATTTACATCTCCCTTGAATATCTTAAAGTGTTTCCTTCTATGAGTTATATTTTATATCTATAAAGTTGTAACTAAATTAAACTGTGAAAGTTAATATAAATAGCCTTTTAAATCTTCGTTTAAATATAAAGACAAACTTTCAAAAATCGTCTTAACTGATAACGATTTTTAACTTCCTATGTGAAATAAATACCTGGTTTTAGCATCTTATTTACTTTAGCAGAGAAAGATTAAAAAACAGGATTTTTTAAGATAACAAAAACTAGATGTCCTGAACTACATATTCAAAGCTTCTTAAATTTTACTAACTATTGAAAAAAAAATTTTCAAAATGTACAACGTTTGTGAGAAAAAAAGCATATGAGAGCCAATCACATTCAAGAATTCACTTGTAGATCATTCTAGAATACGATTTTCTTATTTGGTATATGCCCTAACTGTACTAGCAGTAACAACCGCAAGAATACCAGCAGCAACAACAGCAAGTATATCAGCTGAAGCAACTACAGGCCCATCAACAACAAGACCAAAAAACATCTACAATAAGGACCGGTAAATTAATACCAGTAGATGTAGAAGAAGAAGACCCACAAATATATTGTGTAGATGATGATGAAAGTGAAGGTGAGGGTGAGGGTAAGGGTGAAGGTGAAAGTGAAGATGAAGGTGAAGGTGAAGGTGAAGGTGAAGGTGAAGGTGAAGGTGAAGGTGAAGATGAAAGTGAAAGTGAAGACGAAGGTGTGGTGCAAAAAAAAGGT